CCACCTGACCAGCTCTAACAGAAAACGTAATCAGTAATATCAGTAAACACAGCAGCTGAATCCGCTCTGGGCTCCGATCAGCCTGGTTTCACCGTCACTAAAGTCTGACTTGCTCACAAGTTTAGTTTTCTTTTCATGTGTTTTGCTTAAATTCAAAATCATTTTTATTGGAAGTCACAGACGTCCCTCGAACGCCGACAGCTTCATGTGTTTTCTTGAATCATCACTTTCACAACAGTTTCTGTCTCTGATCTGTTTGAATATTTCGTGACATAAAAATCTGAATATTTCTGAAGATATCTGAAGCTTTAGAACATTATTTGGTTTCTTCCATCTGAAACCAGCAGGGACCATCAGCTCCACCAGCTCTGGTCCAAACGTCTGGATCATAAACTCTCAGATTGAGAGATCAAAGACTTTCTCAGACACATTTCTTTATGAAAATCTGCTGTCGACACACTTTCAGCAGGTTTCTTCTCACATTCACATCTGAACAACATCTGAGGTGTGTTCAGCAGCAGCCGGACGCTCTGAAGGCTTCACTGAGTCTGTGGCTTCATCACAGTGAACTCTGTCAAAGGTTCTACTGACCAGAAAACAGCAGCTCACCTGTCCAGGATTCACCTGTAGGGTCCGTCAGCACCGACTCCAACACCTGAGCTGCACCTGCCCAACATGGCACTCAAGGCTTCTTCTTCTTCTTCTTCTTCTTCTTCTTCTTCTTCTTCTTCTTCTTCTTCAGCTCTAACCTCAGCTGGAACTCAGCGACCAGCTGCCTCTACTGCCCCCTGCAGCAGGTTCTCAGGTAACAGCTGCACACCTGCTCTGGGTTCCTTTGATTGACATCATCAGTGACTGTATTTATCCTCAGCATGTGCTGGACAATAAAAATCTCTGCAATTCAAATATCAGCCTTAAGCGCTGAAAATCAAAAACATGTTGAACACGTCGCTTCCAGATGTTGAAACCAGACGCTGACTCACATCTGCAGTCGGTATGAACATGTGCAGACAGCATGAGGTCCACTCACTAACGCCACCTGCTGACTGTTCATTGTACACAACCATTATTTATCTGTATAATCATGCTGCAGGGTTTCCTTATGCTGCTACTGGCAGGTTCTTCAGTGCACTAAAAATATCACATTGACTTTATATCTAAAATACTGATATATCATTTTATTATATTTCACC